ATCTAAATAAACGTGTTACAATCAAGTTATCTGAAGTTACCATCATTTCCCAAAATGCTAGGTCATAGTAGCAGGAAAAAAATGATTCTGGTGGGAGGGTTTGGAATTATTAAAGCAATGAAATCTAAGCCTATATACAAACGTGACAAGAATTCGACATCTACTTGAGAATCATGGTTGTTTTCGAGATAATGTCATAGGCAAGGCTAGATGAGCCTATCTTTATTTGTGACCTATTTGCTTTGGTTCTCCCTACAAAATTTGCAGTTTTCCAGATTTTGAGATGTTTCGAGGCGAGTTTTATGTGGACGGAATAAGCAATCAGGGAGAGCATCAAGATTCACTTGGTTGGGTGGACATTGCATGATATAAGGATGTATGGTTTTAAATCAACCAAGAGTCGGAAACTCGCTGTCCTGTTACAATTAAAACAACATTCTTCGATTCAAAATTCAGTTCATGCTCTACAAACACTTCGCCTATTACATTATAGAACAGGTCTCGGCGGCAGGATTCCGGAGGGCAAGCTGAAAATTGTTTTTGGGAAGAAGGGCAAAAGGAAAATTGGACAGGGCCTGGGACTTCGAGCGATCGTAGCTTCCGTATCACCTCCAACGCTCACTTTGCAATCGTCTCCGATAACTCCCTACCCATAACCAACATGACCGCAATTTTACTGTGAGGCTTGGGAATTCACGCGCGAAATTCAAACACACGTCTTAATTCACTTAAGCATCGCGTTTATATGCGAATAACCAATTAACGGCTTCCAAAACTAGGAAGAAGATGAGCAATAAGAAATTTTGAAAGTCTATGCAATTTTTCATTGTGAGGATAAAATAATTGCCGTACCATTTTGTGATTTAGATCTCCGTTGGAGATCGACAAGAAACTTCGGGTAGAGGAATACTTGCCGCACTGACCTGCTCTGGCGTGCAACTGGTCCTCTCATGTTGTAATCTTGTCATTGTTAGTGGTATTGGAGCGTCGTGAGGATGAAGAAGTTTTCAATAAACTAAGAAACACACTAATACTCCGCTTGGAAGAAATTTGTGTCTTATGTTATGTAAGAAATGCGAAGGTGGAAGAATTCTGCGTGGAGGCGGAGCCTAATAGCGGCAAATAGTCCTCTGTCCGAGACTATACGTCTTCAATAAGCAAACCCTTTGTTCTCATAGCTTTGCATCCCCTATAACAAGCACTTTTTATGCACCTTTTAACCCAGCTTATGGAGCAATAATCAGATCAAAACACTTCCTCCCTTCCCTGCTAGAATCTCAAACCTTCCTAAGACGGAAAGCGCGCCCCAGCAGAGCCTACAGCACTTGTATCGTTTGCAGGCGAGGTTGGTTTGCCGGGTTTTAAGCGGATATTCTTTTTTGTAAGGTCCGACCAAAGACCTCGTGCTGGGGCTTGTGCTATGCACAACAGAAAACATCATCATCAGAACGTTGTTGGCTTTGAACAGTCACATGTTGTCGAAGAAATTGTAGCGTTTCCTTCACCAAAAGCAGCTGATGCAAAAATCATGCACAACAGCTGCAACATACACACGGTCTTTGCTTTGCTACTAGCTGTTTCGCAATGGGAAGATACAGGATTAGCACATGACGTGCTCAATGGCTAGAGTTAAATAGGGTTGCAACTGCCTTTTCTCGCGGTGTTTTTCAACAAAAGGTGAAAGCCCATAATGATA